AGAAGGATTATATATGTTAATTAGCTTAAGACGTAAAAGTTGACCGACACTTCAATCTGAAATATCTCTAATCGCTATACCTATGAGATCTCTTTTTTGTCGAAGTTCTGACGACACCCTACTCTCGCATGCAAGCCGCATAATTGACGACTGTGACATTTGAAATTATTAACGACGCCAGTAACTGTCGTCTGCTTACAAAAAAGGCACGTCGCTGTCGACACGCCTTTCATTAAGAGCGAACTGATGTCGACGTGAGGACACTTCTAAAGTAACGACAGCGTAGTGTGGAGTCCTCGGATTGTCGTACTCGCAAAAAGAGATGTGTCGTAAAAAAGCGTCACGCCCCCGCAAGGACTCGTACCGAGGACGCGCGTGTATGGTAGTGTCTTGTCTCAGAACTGTAAGGATAAGCGGTCGTTTTAACGAGCTACGTTGCGTAACGAGCTCTCATTAACTCTCTCGTCGCACCTCTCGGGATCCAATCCCACGCCTCAATGGCCGACTACTGACTGAGTGACTTACTGAATCCTTCCGCCGTCGTGCGAGAGAAACGCCGCGCCGAACGTTACGAAAGGACGATTATTTCAACAATTCATTGTTGTTGGCGCGCGCTTCCGCGTATGTCGCTCCCGCGCGCAAATTTCCTATGCTATCTCCGTGAATTCACACAACGCCGTTGGACGCCGTCTCGTCTGATGTCGCTGAGAGAACGACACGAGCGTGACACAACAAACGAGGAATAACGCTGCAATTTCTCCGCTGTAATTCCGGATAATACGACCTAACGAGGACCACAAAGAGAGTTACAGCGCGCGGAGATGCATGATGTATTTCTACTACTGGAAATAGCAACGTAACTTCATTTTTTTGCAAAGAGTTATATTTCTGACTTTTTATTCCATTAATCTACCAATTAACATCAGCTAATTAACATATGATTCTTTCCGAACAAAGTTATTTTCTGCAATAAACTTATTTTACTAATAAAAATTGTCTTTTCTTCGAATGTTTCATCTCAGCAGATAGATAGGCAAACATAGGTCTCATTTGAAAAGTCCTATCGAATGAGATCAGAAAGAAGTCTGTATCTTTCACGTGTTTCTGAGGAAATCACGTTTGAAAAAGAAGTAAGACCTAAAATTTAGATTTTTCTTACGGAGTCTTAAAAATCTTAAAACAAATAACAAAAATTTTATTGAAAACTTTGTTTCGTCGATATGATAACGCGAATTCACTCATCTCATAGTACGACTAACAACTGACTTTCGATTGCCAAAAATAGGATACGACGGGTAATCCCGATAGGACGTGAGCAGAAGGTAAGTGGCATACCGTAGCGCACTTGCCTTAAATCGTTGCCTCGATACTGCGGAGTCTGCGGTGTATTCGCGTATTATCTCGCTGTTCGAGCGGCTACACGCGGAATATGGAGCACTTATCCTGGTCACGGTAACGACGGACCACTTAGCCTGGGTAACGACCGCTCCGACCGCTACGACCCGTAGCGTCATCAAGCTGTCCGCCGGCTCGTGCACTTCGCCGGTTGGTGACCTTTACGCCATGGGACCACGGTGTTCCATTTGCGCAGAAATTGAAATTCCATTCACGTGGAGATTGCTGACGGTGACTCGGCGGAGCTTTCCCGTGCGCGGACGCAGAAGCCAAAAAGCATTAAACTACGACGGTCCACTAACGGCGGGATTTGCAATTCATCGGCCGCCTTAATCACGGATTAAATATATTCGCCTCGCGGTGCGCGCGCGGAATAATCTCTGCCCAAAATCACACAGACTTCGT